AATAAGGGAACCCCAATATAAACCCCAAAATACTAGAATCCTTAATATAAGGACCCCCCAAAGGGGTACCCCTAATTTTGGGAAACCCCTATATGGGTTTCCATGTTAATTTGGGGGAGTGTACAGCATGGCAAGGCTCCCCATCCACGGGTACGACCTCGCCAGGCAAGACTCGCAGTAGGTCGCCAATCTGCACAAGGTCATAGCCTTAACTCTCCAGCTGAGGGCTTAGGGTTTAGGGTTTAGGGTTCAGGGTTTAGGGGTTTGGGGTTTGGGGTTTAGGGTTTAGGGATCCCTTCCCGTACCTTAACCCCCGAATTATGTGGTATCATAGCAATTAACGACTGTTTTCTGAGGGTTTAGGCCATTCTTTTCCTGGCTTTTGATTTGTGAACTGTTGACGTCCAGGTGCAGGTTAAGCTCTGGGTTTAGCTTGGGGTTTTAACCCCTAAGCCTTTTTCAGCTCTAAACCGCGATTAGGAACAAAGCTCGAAGGTTTGCCAGTAGACAGGTTGGCAGCCCGACTTCAAGTCTGGACTTTACTTACTGGTGGTTCGCAGGGAATAAGGGAATTTAGTATCTAGGGATTCTATAGGGATTTTTATACCCGTATTCCTTAGTAACAACCAGTAAGATTAGATGCCTCAGCATCGGGGTCAGCGCGGGGCTTTCCCCAAAATGGATTGAGGCTCCCCATTTAGGAGTGACCATAATAAGGACTATGGCATTGGCAGTGTATTTTGGGGTCCCTCTATAATTAGGAAGACTACCATATGCGTGTCTGTAGGGTGAAGGGTTCAGGGCTTAGGCAGCTGCAGGTACAACTGTCAGCGTTACAGGCAGAAAAGGCAAAAGGACATTTCGAACAAACTTATAGCAACGTGTCGCGCGAGCAATGTACTGCGAAGTATCTTTACATATTTTCTAAGTTCCCTTCGCTTGGCCCTTCAAGGCGGAACCTGCGGATAACGCCGCACCGAAATCCTCGAGCCTATTGAGCAGACCAACCCCATCAGTACCGCAGAAGGCCCTGTAGTGACCTCTTACATGAACTTGACGAATTACTCGTGGTTAGTAGGGAATCAGGGAATATAACCCCCATAAAACCCCATATCAGCCCATATCATGTATTCCCTTATTCCCTACTAACCCTAAACCCTACAATATATTCCCTTAATCCCTACTAACCCTCAACCCTAGACCCTTAACCCTTCAATTTAGTCCCCTTACTCCCTACTAACCCTAAACCCTTATCCGGTGGTATAATTATTCCTTATCCCCTACTAACCCTAACCCTAATATATTCTTGTTCCCTAAATTTCGCTACTAATCCTAAACCCTAAGCCCCAAACCTTGAACGCTAAACCCTACACTTGAAACTCTAAACCCCGAAGGCGTCAAGCCCTACTAACCCGTAGGAAGTTTATTTGTGTGTCCAAGCCATGTCCCAGTTGCGAAGTTCCGTTTCGGAACCTTCGGGCTCTTCCAGAAGTCGGGCGAACTCAGGCCTGCGCTTACTTGGACAAATTCACATCCTGCATCGGAGCTAGGATCTAGAAAAACAGAATTGTGATGTTCATCATATCTGGCATTCTGACCGTCGTGAGTAGGCGAAAATCTTCTGACCATGATCCTAAATATGGATGCGTCGAGGAGGTCTCCTTCTTGCCTAACCTAAACCCTGAACCCAAAACCGCGGCCTCTTCGCGGAAATCTCCTTCACTGCGGAGGTCGTCCGTGTCTTTGCGATAATTTCCAGAAGGCGGCCACCGAGCAATACCTCTGTGTCTCTCTATCTCCCTTACGTCGTACACATGCGCATGCCAAAGTTCTGTATGCGTATGGGGTAGGCAGAGTGTGTATACAGGTATATACTTAGGTAGGCATGCGCAAATGTGTGTGCCTACGTCGGTAGGTATGTCAGTGTGCATGTATTTATGCATGCATGCTTGCACATTTGCATTATCCTGCTATACAATATAACCTGATGCGCAATATGTTTGCAAGGCGTGCGCAGGTATATTGGTGCCTGTCAGAAACACAGGCTTCCTTTCTGGGCTATTCGAGTGAGAAAGATCTTGATTCTGCAGAGATGCAGCAACCCACAAGGGGTCCAGCTAAACCCCAAGCCCTCAATCCCAGAACCCCAAACCCCTGAACCCTAAACCCCTGAACCCCTAAAGCCCTGAACCCCTGAACCCCTGAACCCTAAACCCCGAAACCCCTGAACCCTAAACTCTGTCATTTTACGTGTTTGTAACCACTAAAATGCCTCTGCCTTTGAAGTAGTCTTTAACCCCTGATCCGGCTAAAAAATGTTCTGCAAGTGGAAGAAGCCGCCTGCCCCGCTTACCCCTGTAATGTAAACCCTTTTTTTGGAGGATATATAGGGGTTATATAGGGGTTATGTAGGGATAATGGAAAAGAAAATGGAAACTACTATTTAGGGTTTAGGTTTTAGGGTTGTAGACCCATGATTAATAAACCCCCTCCTTTTAAGGGCCTTAATATTAGGATCCCTATTAGGATCCTTATTGAGGGGAGGGGGTTTATTAAATCAGGGGTCCGGGCTAGCCCCTAACCACAAGAGGCAGAGTGTCAGAGATCAGTACAGAGCTTGTCTCACCTCAGATGTCTCGGAGTCTGGCTAGATCTCGATTCCCTATGCTGAGGACGCTTGTATTTTGAAGTCTATATTTATAATGGAGTCCCCGTATATGTTTTGCCTTTATGTCTCTTCCATGGCCCGTTTGTCATTGCAACTTGCACATGCACCCACAGTCAGTGCTGTGTGGATGCTCTCTTGTTTCTTGGCTACAGAACCTTTCCTTCCCGAAGACTACCATGCAAACTCATAGACGCCCCTTTTTGAAAGGACAACAGTCCCTGCAATACTGTTTTTAGGGCTTTCATGTTTGTTTGGGGGAAGGTGGCTGCATGCCGTTCGACCGCCGACGCTGCACCATGGCCATCTCAAGCTGTGCTTTGTAGAGATTACTTGGAGATCCATTGGCAATTATATATTCACGGTTTAGGGTTTCGGGACGTATGAATGGACTCAGAAACCAAGTTATGTCCACATTAGGGGGCTTAAGGAGCTTATTTATAACTGGGCTTTTAAGTACAGTTATACATAGGCCATACGTGGTCAGAGCTCTCACTAAGCTAGCACCCTAAACCCAAAACGCCCAACCCTTAATAAAGATAATTTGGTAACCCAGACCCTCAGCAGAATGACCTCCGGGTATGACATCATCCCTTTGAGGTCCTCATCTTGGGGCTGTGGGAGTGGCATGTCTCGTTTGAAAACTATCAGTGGGCTTTAGGGTTTAGGGTTTTTGAACACTGCCTTTCAAAGCCACGTGAGGTCGATATTTTATGTATGCACACTCCGCCTGCATACACGATTAAGACAAGAAACTCTATAGTACAGAATGACCAAACACAAAAGCTCAAATCATTGGCTGCCCCCAAGACCGAGAGCCCAGTCCCTTAGTGAAAATCCCTAAGCGCTATAGTCCAGAAAGCCTCCTCGCTGCAGCTAATCCCCATCCATCGCTGCAGTGGCTACATGCGCAAGATTTGCATGATCACTATAGTGCGTAAAAAAGGGTAGAATAATTGGGGTTGGGAGGTATCTCAGACTGTTACTTTGAAAGGATAACTTCATAATTGTATGCGGTCGGAATCCTAAGTTCACGGTGATGGCATCGAGCATTCTTGGACGCTGGACCTTTGTCCCTTCAACCTTGAAACTCAACCTGTGCTGCCTCAAGCAGTCTGCTTGGAGATAAGGAACAGAACATCGCAGCCATGTGCATGTCAAAGCCTCGGTTTCTTTAGACTATTAAGTGTGGGATCCCGCGCTCGTGCGGACTACTCTCTCAGACTAGGACTATCTTGTTTATCCAGTTGGTGCTTGAACCCGTGCCTTGAGATCCAGTTTGTGCAATTTAGGCGTACCATGGCGTACTATATACGAACTTTGGAACTCACAAACGCTGATTGCTACAATCCTTTGATAAGTAAACTAGCAGTCATCGGAAATTAGAAAAAGGGATCCTCGAATTGACCGCGATTGCAAGAACAACCACTACTGCCATTCTTATTCTTTGCGTTTTCAATCGCTTTCTCTTCCTATCAGGGCTGTGACTCTTCTTGGTATGGATGTTCCTCGAAAGTGGAAGGTTCTTGCATTTAGGTCGTGCGCATGCCCTGCGCCAATGAGAAGCTCTTGCGTGCAGGACCCCGAACAGAGAATGTGACAAAGCCGTGTAGAAGAACTTCAGGGTTTGGGATTCGGGGTCACGGACTGTACTGCTATGTGCAACATGAGCAGCCGACTCCGCCAACTGTGGCCTCATAGAGTCCCCCCGCCGCCCCGTAGATGAAGGACATCTGAGCGCCGGCATTGTTGTGGTGCTTACCGAACTAGAGCCATTTACCGTAATTGTGAAGCTCAGCATGAGGAGTACGGGGTACTGGACTTGCACGCACCGGTATTTGAGAACTATGGGGCCCATGTTCAGCCGCGCAACCAGCATGAACATGGGGATTACTGTTCTTGGGTGGCAAATGGTAAGCAGAGTAAGACGATCCTCCAAGTAAGATGCGCTGCCAACACTGGTTTCAGACATGTGTGAAGGATGAAGGATGTATGGGTCAGGGTCAGGGCTCTTTCTGGCTGGAGCTGTCCTGGCCCACGGAGACCTCGCTCGCAGCGAGTTCATGTTGGGAACGCCCATTTGAGGCTTGGTCGGGTAAGGTCGTTCTGATGGGCCAAGCTTCGCATGGAATAAAGGGATGGATACCTCTAAGAATCGCGATTTAGTAAAAGAACGCGGCGGCAGAATGCAACAAGTGTACCTGTCAGTCTTGTTTTCAGACTCAGCAAACCTGTGCGAAGAGCAAGAAAACATGTTTCTAGGCCAGGCCGGTTGTAACCCCTAAACCCTAAACCCCATAAGTTTGCACAGGAACTCCGATGCAGTGCCTTCCTTGCCTGGATACCATTATTCGGGTCCTGACTCAATCCATTGACAGTCTGTAATAGGGGTCATATGAGCCATAGTCTAAACACCTAGTATCCCCCTCAATAACCCTTATTATAACCCCCCATATAACCCCTTTTAAGGAGTTTAGATTCTGGCTCATAAATTAAGGCCTAGATGTAATCATATTATAGATGTTATCCACCTGCTAATGAGTGGGGGCAGTACCCAAACTATAATACATGACCAAAGACAAAATACATAACAATGCCGACATGGAACTACATAGGAGCCCCTGGATACCATCAAGCCTGTCCAGGCAGTGCCCATGTGGTTGCCGAGCTACTGTGGTGGACAAAGAGACCAAGGTGTTCATGGTCGTCGCCTTGGCGGCCAGAAACGCTATGATTAGGCTCCTCAAAGCCCAATGTATGAAATAATTATAGGCGTTGAGGCCGCATGTAGGCACTATTTTGAAATGTTGTTAAACCTAGAGCCTCAGGACCGTTGTGCGCCTCTACGGGCGGCTGCGCAAGCAGTTGCTAACAGGAGGGCCCTTTCATAGGCATGAAATGGCCCATACTCCAATAGCAATGCAGCGAAAACCGTAAGCCTTTTAATCCATCCCTTGCGCTCGGACATACACACGAGGATGAAACTCCGTTGCCGTGCGGGAATTGTCTGTAGGGTTATAAGCCCAAAGTCCCATGGGCCTCCAAGTACACTAAGCAACAAGTACACCGCCGCCCTGAGACATGAAGTCCTGGTTCACTGGGCCCATCCAGGGAGAGTAACTACCCACCTAGTCACCTCTCTGCGATCCCCACCCCCTAATGATAAACATTCCGTTTCAATGTGAGCTACAGACTAAATTTAGGTTGGGGGCACCTATACGGGACTATATAGGGTTTTGGGGGGGGGACCTATTAAGGGATATACTACAAATGAAATCCAGGGCTCATGTATAACAGCACTACAATCTTAGGGGGTAGGGAGGAGCGGGCATGGCCATGGGGGGAGGAATCCTGGACAATTCTGAGGCATGTGCCGGGACTTTCCAAGAATCATGGGTATGGGTTAGGAGGATCCCCCCACCCAGTAATAGTGAGCATAAGGGGTAATAGGGATTATATTGAGGTCGTCCCATATTCCTATACCACTATTACAAGGTGGGGGGGGGTCCTCCTAAGGTATGGGCTTCCTGTTGTCAGGATGGGAATACTTGGGAGAATTCATGCGGAACCCTATTGTGGGAAGTACCCAGCTCAGCACGCTAAGTGGGGAATTGCGAGTCTCTTTGCACCAGTGGAATTTCCTGTGGGCTCGGACGGCTTCTGACAACCCTGAACCCTAAACCCTGTTTACTCATATCCCCTGTAACACCCTATATACCCATAACACCTATATAGCCCGTTATGATAGTTTCCATTTTCTTTTCCACTCTCCCAATACTACCCCAATATACTGTAGCAGCTTCCCAGAAAACCTTTCCCAATGTCTGTTGTGTAAGGATGGACCTAGTTTGGCACCTGGACCTTGAACCACAAAGTCCATTTCCAACCGCGCAAAACCTAACAAGCGCTTCAAACAACACAAAAACGCCACAGCAGTCGATTTAGCATCTCTCAACCCCTCTTGGAGGGTCATGTGGACTTAGTGTTTAGGGCTTGGGGTTCGGGTGTAGGTTAATAATAATAGGAATAACTGGGGTTGTTATATTGGCTTATAGGGGTTATTAACCTACTTGCTAAGCCCCCATGACCCTCCAAGCTGAGACTACAGAGAACAG